GGAATATTTAGTACTAGAACGCTTGTTCATGTAGTTGCTATAAATTAGATGCCATGATTATTATCGAACATCTATTGGACCCAGAAAATATAAATATGTTCTAGGCAAATCAGTACATCAACGTGAGAGGAACTTTTGAACAAATAAAATTAATAGGATAATAATATATTGGAAATTAGTGGCTTGTATTGAAATATAAGAATGTTGGGGCCTCTATTTTCTTTTTTTTTTTTTGGGAGGGGAAAGTTGTGCGGTTGATCAGGTGGCACATGGCCATGGATAGCCCTGGCACTCTGCGTACGGGCTGAAGGAGAAAAAAGAATATAAGTTCTTCTTCTCATTATTTATGGATACACTCAGAGTACTATACGGCCAAAATTTATAAAGAACAATATTTGATCTGAGTAGAGTCATACACCTACAACTTTATCATAACACCATCGCAATTAAAACCCATCCTCGCTTGTTAATCAAATCAAACGTTCTCCACTAATATTCACTCAATTCACGTAGAAATCAACCATATGCACGTTTGCTCATGCAGGGCGCCTATTTGGCGCGGGCTCGTGCGCTTTTGATAATGCTTTTGCTGCTGCTTTGGCTTTGGCAGTTGGCACACCGTGCGCGTGCGCCCATCGTCCTGAGTGACCGGCTGCTTTGACACGCCAAGGGCGCAGGAAGGAGAGGCAAGAGCACGAGGAAATCGAGCAAATCCGGCGACACTTTATTTTCTGGTGATTTTCTCCCTCTATTTTGCGTTAGAAAAATCGTTGACATCCGAAGTGAGCGTAGCTTAACCCTAGGTTTCTTATCGTCAAGCCAATTCATCCAGATTTATGTATGAAACATTATAGATAATTGTTTTTTTAAGTAGTAGGTGATATATCTGTCGAACGTCGTCGGTGGTGATTTTTTCAGTGAGTATGCAGACATTATGATTTTTTTTTTAAGAAAGAGAAAACTCGTTGACAGACCTGTGGATGTGGTGGTTCTACGACCGTCCGGCTAACCTGGCACGAGGCCAATGTGGGAGCGTCTCCGTTGCAATAGTTTTTACGTTGCCACTAGCGCGAAGGCGCGCGCCTTCCAAGCTCCAAAGCATGTGGAAAAAGGCAGGCAAAAACGCATGCAAAAGGTGAAAAAAACACAAAACCAAAAGGCAGAGAGGGGTTAGCTGGTGCCTCGCTTTCGCCTTTACGACGCAGCTCGGCAGCTGGCTTTGCTTTTGCTTCGGCTGCAGGTGGGCCGGGCTGCTGACTTGGCCCATGACGCGACCCTTTTCTTCTAAACTTTGAGCCCAACCAGCCCAAAAACCTGTCATTCCTCCGGTCCGGCCAGTCACACGCTTAGCATTAAGCTAAAGCTTTTCTTCTATAATCTTTTCAGATAGCGGCCGGCACTATCTGTTAGCCTGTTACCACTAGCCATTGATTTCGACGAGTGATTAGTGAACGCATTACGCATACGACCTCATCTTTTTCTTTTTCTTTTCTTTTTTTATGATGTGTGTCATGACCCACGAAGAAAATCCACGGTCGAAATCGATGGTGAACTAAAATGGGAACTTTTTTTTTTTTTGCCGAGTTTGTTTTGTCACTCGTGCTATCGTGACAACATCCAAGGAATATGGCTATACGGAAAAAGATGAGTGAATCGCGATGATGTGATCATCGTACGCACCGCCACAGGTTGCTGTACAAAGTTATAATCAAGACTTGATAGGTCCCTTTTTTTTTAGCTTTGCAGAAAGGAGAAGTTGATGTGAGCTAATCAGAACGGCGACATATCCAATGAAGACTATTAGATAAGTGAAAACCCATGAGACTAGACCTAAAAAGTGTATAAATTCATGAGAAGAATACTGTAGATAGATGCAAGTATGAAATACATTCTCACTAAATTTTAAGTTTAGACTCAACTCTATTATAGAGGGAAAAAAGAGATAACTTTTGAGTGAATAGTAAGAGTAAAATGCGTTGCAGGTACCACAACTTGCAAGGTGTGTGCAATTTAGTCACCCATCTTGTAATTTGCTCAAATAAGTCACTCAACTTCCATTATCTAAAAAAAAAGTCACTCAACTTGTTTAGAGGTGCAATATTATTTGTACCAAGGTGGACGCCACGTCAGCATGACAGGTTCACCTTGTATGCAAGGAACAAAGATGCAAATTAGCCCTTATATTGTTTCAATTTTTCGTTTGAGTACATATGTTTGTTTGATACTCCAAATCTTCAATACGTGATTTGCTGCCAGTACTGAATCTTGCCTGATGTACAAGGATATATGTTTGTCTTTATATTGGGAAATAAAGCGGTTTGTTCCTTGTGCTAAAACCAATTTTTATATGCACTCTTCAATGTGGTAATTTGACATCATATTCATGGATTAAATAGGAGCGCTCGTGGCTAGCGTTGATAATTTCGCCGATGATGGATTCATACGCAGCCACGCAGGCTATCACCGCGACTCGCTAGATCTGGCGCCGTCCTATCCCGTGCGCACGCCAACAAAAAAACCTACGATCATGGCTTAGCACACGGGCATAACATATCTAAATAGACCAATTAAATTAGCAAAGAGTAATATAGTAGAAGGGTTTTTCTACAAAACTGTATTACTTTCGCCAACTCATCGTCACGTCTGCCATCGTATCGTCCACCTTGGCAAAAATAATACGCGTGACACGTTTTTTATTATATTTGCACCTCCAAACAAGTTGAGTGATTTATTTGAGCAAATTACAAGATGGGTGACTAAATTGTACCCACCTTGCAAGTTGTAGTACCTGCAACGCATTTTACTCGAATAGTAATATAACACTATTCATCTGAAATTTGTCTTTTTTGTTTTTCTCAAATAAAGTTGAGTTTGGACTTAAGATTTGGTATATTTATCTTTAAATTTTTTTTCATAAATTTATAAGACTTTTAAATATGATTTTCATGAGTTCTCACTTATTTGATGATTTTTATTGGAGCCCTCACCTGAACTACCTTGGAGTTCCACAGGTAGCTACAGCTAACTATCTTAGTAGCATTTGCATTACTTATGGTAAAACTGTACTGTACTGTAAAACCAAAGATCCTTCAAAGAGTGAGCCGGTATTTGCACGAAGGGGAGGAGCATGGGCAGTCAGGTTCCCCAAACTGTTTTTGTTGGTTACCCGGACAGTCTTATAACTTTGAACGTTAGTTCATTGAGCTTGACTACGGTGCTTTCTACTCGTAGTATTCTACTACCAGTAGAAATGATCTGAACCATCTGTTTGGAAGGGTATATTAGTACTTACTAATTATGTGCTTAAGGGTAATTTGGGTATTTGTGTTTTCCTTTTCTTTTAAGTCTCGTATTGCTCCGACCGTCTCGCCGCATCCATCCGCCGTCCGTTCCTGCACAGCTCGATTCCGGTGGTGGCGCCCATTTCGATCAGCCGGCGTTCATCCTGCCGCCGCCGTTTTATCTCCCCGTCGGTGACCTCGATTATCCTGCCATCCTCCACCCCTGGTATTCCCGCCGTCGATGTCGCTGATCCCTGTCTAGCCACCACGGCCGTGCCAACCTCCGTTGCTGGCGACCACGCGCATCTGCACTGCACCGATCTCCTCCCTATCGACCACGGCCATGCCGATTTCTTCGGCCCTGACGACCGCGTTCACATCCGCGTTGATCTCCTCCTCCCACTGAACAAGCTAACAGCTAGTATTTATTTTCGATTATCATGGTACTTGTGCGTTTGCTCTCAATCGAATTTGATTTCTTCGTTGTTGATAAGAAGAGGAACCTGCTTTTTTGAAACGAACCGCACAAGAAGAGGAACATGCTAATGCTATTGCTACTAGATTGCATGTATAGCGTTGTATACAAGTTCCAATTCGATTTATCGGATGTGACTTTGATATGGATGGATGCTGAATTTTGATTCGGGCTGGATGCAATATATTGGAGTATATATTAATTCTGAAGATGTAATGTGCTAGCTATTATAATATTATTTGAATAAAATACAATTCAACTGAATCTCTGAACTTGAGTATGTATAAAATACTATTTTGACTGTTAATTTCTGTTATGGTATATTTCTAAAAATCTAAAAGTATTGTTTGAAAAGAAAATACTCACAATTTTAGGATCGTTGACACAGTTCCTGAGTTTTTATCTGAGGGAACATTTCTGAATTAGAAACTCAGTTCCTGAGTTGTTTTTTTAGGGAGCAGTTCCATATAGTTACTAACTTATAGTGTTAATTACTAATTTGTCCATGTATGTCCACAAGCATTCTCATAAATCATCATGATATATATTCTTTAACTGCTAGAATATTTTCATTATGAGATGAGATTTTAAAGCAGCCGCGACTGTCAGATTCACTTGTATCACAGAATTGTTCACTTTCCTGAACATGTTTGCAACTTGTGAAGTAATCCTCAAGCCGGAGCTATGAGAGGGAGCATGTAAGAAGCATCAACACAATTGAAGGTTGGGGATGGACCACTGACGTTTCTTCAGCCTTTTATTTTGTTGTATCAGAGACTTTGTTCAGATGATTATATACTTCTTAAGTGATATGCATGTAAATGTGGAGGTCAGGGGTGTAATTAGCAAAAAATAAAGCTCTATCAAGCCAAGTTTCAGGATATATTAACCGTGGTGATTGCAGATTAATTTCTGTTAGGTGAAGATAAAAAAGATAGTTGCAGTTATGTTAGATGATTGAAAAAAAGAAGTGGTGTGGTACTGGGATTGACCCCTCGCGACATGGACAAAATTAAAGCATCTTGCAGTAACCATCCACGGCAACTCCCAAGTGCAAATATATATCATCTTTGCCTATTCATTTGTTTTAAAACACGAACACTGTCTACCAAAGAAAACCACGTGGGATATATCGCAAGGGAGTATATTACTGCTTCTGTGATAGACATTAAATTATGGCGAGTACAATATATATATATATATATATATATATATATATATATATATCAATTCAGACATTGGTCGTTGTCCTTTATAAAATATCAGCCCCATACCATGCTGCTAGATCATACTCGCAGAACAGGATACAACTCTTGAATGCAAGAAGCATGACTTTTGCCAGTAATTCCAACGTGCAATCTCCAACAAGACAATGAAAGGCAAACTCACCATTGGAGCTCCACTGCATGGCTGAAAAAATGAAAAGAAAATTATACACATTGGAAAGCCTCCAAAATAAAATGATCTGCAGAGCCTTACAAAATTATGGACCTTAACTGTTCCATGCTGGCCGTAACCACTATAAACTAGTAGTATCTTCTGAAATTTGACTTATGTGATGTAGCACAGGGAGTGGAACTATTTCTACAAGCAACGAATCAAATAAAAATCGATCTGTGTGTAATTTACGAAGTATAGAGAACTCCAGAATTAGTACTAGAATTTTACTGAAGCAAAATCATAACCATTTAAACCGTTGTCGGCTGCTCATCAACTAAAATAGAATGAAGCACAAGCGGAAATCATCTCTCGCTAATGGTCACAGAAGAATTATCTATGTGGTGATTTGATAACATTTGTCAGACACATTTCAAATTTGTATAGTTGGGACAACAACCTCAGTAGAAATCTAGCAGGTTGTGCTTATGAAGTACTACTTGGTGTTAAAACTGAATTTTGCTCGCGTCAGGCTGCTACTTTTGGAGGATCTAATAGTGATCCTACAACATTACTGTATCATTTATCAGGAAGTGATGGGAGAAAATGGGACAGGACGTTACCTGTTCTCGAACCAGTAGCAGCCGAAGAGATGGGATGAACAATCAACGGCAACATCAAGATGAGGGCGACGTTGCATCATCAGCCTCTCCTCCGCCGGACTGCCATACAAGCAGCACATCGTGGATCCGCCGCCCTTGCCGAGGCGCCGAGCACGTACGCCGCAGCCGCCACAGGTCGCTGGAGGTAGAGAAGGTGGATGGGGCAGAGGGCCGCGAGGGCGCTGGAGGCGATGAACGCGGCGAGGGAGATGGACGGGCGACGGAGGCGACGATAGAGGTGAACGGGAGGCCCAGAATGGCGTCAAAGGAGGCGGCGAGGGCGGGGGAGGCGGACGGCGACAGAGGGGGCCGAAGAAGGCGACGCGGGCGGAGGAGACGGACGGTGAAAGAGGAGGCGGACAAGGCGGCGACGGCGGGGGATACGGACGGCGATGGAGGGGGCGGAGAAGGCGGTGAGGCCGGGGGAGGCGACGGTGCTGGAGGGGAAGGAGATGCCGATGGCGCTGGAGGCGACGGAGGTGGAGAGGGAGAAGGACCGGCGACGGAGGCGGCGAAGGAGATGGACACCGACGGAGGCGGGGATGGAGGAGAATGGCATCGATTAGGATAGGATAGAGAGAGAGGGTGAAGAGTTAGATAAAAACAAATTACGATAATACCCTACGCGAATTATTACCTTTGGACAAATATATCCCTCCACATTTCTACTCCCATAAAATTTGGTGGGAGTAGAACTCGATCTCAACCATATGATTAAATACGATCAACGGTTCGGATTAATTTCTACTCTAAGTAGAAAAGCACCGGAGCGGGACTCTAGTTCATAAAGATTTTTTCTTTTCGCGATATTTCACAACAATTGAGCATGCGAGTAAACTAAATTTTGTTTTCTCCCAAATGTAGATGATACCTTGGTTATTGAAGTCGATCCAATTCGCCACTGTAGTACATACTCCTTCGGTTTATATTATAAATCGCTTTAACTTCCTGTTAGTTAAACTTTTATAACTTTGATCAAATTGTTTTCAATACAAAACAAACATCCTATCAAAATACATTTAATGTTACATATAATGAAATTAATTTGGTATTGTAGATGTTGTTAAATTGTTTTTTTAAAAAATATTAGAACATAAAAGGGCTTCAATAGGAAAATAATCAAAGTACTAGGGTGGTGTTATTTTCTCATGAAGATGAAGATTAAGTTTTTTTTCGTAAAATAAGGTGATATTAATGTATAGTTAATTGAGTTTTAATTATTACAAACTTGAAAAATAGATTAATATGATATTTTAAAGCAAATTTCGTATATAAAGATTTCGCATGAAACATATCATTTAGCGGTTTGAAAAATGTGACACGAGTATTTAAAATTTTATCCGACTTTTGTTGGAGAAAGGAACAGGGCCAAGGGTTATAATATGAAACCAATGATGCAGTATACTAGAGATTAAAATGATGAGTCACAAAAGATTTTTGGTCCTTCGAAAAAAGAACTCAAGTAGGAATATAATCTTTCTCGAAGGAATATGAGTATAATCTTTAGTGGCAAGAGATGTAAGAAACAAAATCCCCACATGGATACAAGCTAACCCAAACATGACGAGTAGTATATGATCTTTCTTGAAACGAATCTGAACTTCTTTTTATTTTTTTTCCTTTTTTGATAGGACGAATCTGAACTTCTGAAGCCATCATACTTACAACTACACGCCAGTGTGGTATGATCCGCATGTGTTCGAGAGAAGGCGTATTCTACACAGTACGTAAGCTCGAGTCGGCGGCGTAATCCCCACTTACTACACAACACGGCTGTGGTACCAGGATTTTTTTCACCACGCGCCCTACCTCGCAATCTCCCCCTCCTCCCGTCTCGTCGTCGTCACCGCCGCCGGCTCACCCCCCACCCGTCGCCGCCGGCGCGGAGGCCAAGCCCTAGCCCCAGCGCGGCCGATCGCCTCGATCCCCCGGCGAGCCGATGGGCGTGCGCCGCTGAAGCATGCCAGCGCGCCGAGGCCGTGGAAAGCGGAAGCAGCAGCAGCCGCCGCCGCCGCCGACGGGCCCAGCGGACGCGAGGCAGCCGGAGGGGAAGCAGCGGGAGGAGGAGCGGAAGGGGATGGAAGGGTCCGACAAGGGGGGCGCCGGCGACGACGGGAGCCCCGCGCCGCTCCCGGAGACGGTAATCGCGGATTATCTATCCCCCCTTGGCTCCCCCGCTGCGTGACCTAGATATGGCTGTCGATTTTTTTTTAGGGGGCGTTTTGTTTTTTTGGTTTAGGGTTCTATTGATTGAATAGACGCTGCCGCTGGTGTAGATGAACTGATTGATCTATGCAAACTGTACACGCGGGATGGGATGGTGGAGTTTTACGCTTGTGGCAAAATAACTACTAGTTGTTCTGGATTCTTAGCTTACTTTCAATTAACTCTGATCCAACTGGTGACAAGAGAAGGGGAGGATAGCAGATGTATTGATTACAAATAGCAGCTGCACAGAACTGATTTTGTAGAGAATTGTGTGGAACTAAATTAGAACTTTTGACTAAATGTGAATGAAGAATGCTTATTGTGTAAATCTAGGATAGCATCAGTACGGGTGATGTTGACCAGAAGCTTATTGTGCATTTCAAGCAGAAAACTGATGAGATAGCTAACATCTTGAGTTCTAGACTCCATCTAGTTAATCTCTAGCATTTGATGGCACTTATAATTAGTGTGCCATGAATATACCATTTCTGGTGTTTGGTGTGTGTTTTTACTGAACGTAGATCTTGTCGGTTGCTTAATTATGTTCATTTCTGCCATGTATACGAAATTCAATTGGTTAGCTGAGTGTTGTTACTGTTTCATGTATTCTCTGTTCCTGTTTTATTCCTAACATTTGTTGAATTCACATGCTGAGTGTTTGTGTTAAATTCCAAGCGGAGATTTGATTGAGCATCGGTCTGTTAGGATTAGCTACCATCATGCAGATAAAAGATCTGCCTAGGAACGGGAGAATCTAAAGTGCCTTAATTTTATTGCGCACTATGTTGAGCCATATTGTAGATGCTACTGTATAGGCATTCTTTAGGATAATGGTAGCTTTCCATTAGATCAAAGCAGGATTAGTCATTATACAGGATTTGTTGCAAGAATGAAGGTGCCTCATGTCACCTGCACTCAGAGTTGACTGCTTGAAACCTGTTTAGCTCACAAAAGATCAGAAATGTTGCAATGGCTGTTCTGATGATGAAATTTTGTATCATTTTATTACGCATGGAATAGCTGACCTGTCTCCTTTTTCACATGTTTATAGGATTTTACATCATGTTATCATAACCATATATTTATTTTGGGCGGTTGTGTGCTTGGACCAGGTACAAATCGGAAATTCACCAACGTATAAGCTTGAGAGGAAGCTTGGAAAGGGAGGATTTGGACAAGTATACGTTGGCCGGCGTATTTCCTCTCCTACTCATGGTAACAGAAATTCTGGTGCAAATGCATTAGAGGTCAGTGTATCTCCTTGAATGATTGAAGTAGTTGGAACTGAGACTATTCGTACTTGCGTCAGTACTCATGTTCATTTCTGTCAGGTTGCGCTAAAATTCGAACATCGAACCAGCAAAGGTTGCAGCTATGGAGCTCCCTATGAATGGCAAGTCTACAAGTAAGTATTTCTTCTTCTGGCTCTCTACTGTGTAAGTTTTTCTTTGTGAATACCAAATTATTTGGATACGTTTACATTGATTACTTATGATAAACCTTCTCTTGCAGTACTCTTAGTGGAAATCATGGTGTCCCACGGGTACACTACAAAGGAAAGCAGGGCGGGTTTTACATCATGGTAATGGAGCATGAACTAGATTTTTTTTTTTTTTTGCTTTCCGGTTTATGGTTTGATTGGTTTCTTTTTCTCTTAAGAATTATCAACTACGTTTTTTCTAACCATACACATTTTTCATGCAGGTTATGGATATGTTGGGACCGAGCCTGTGGGATGTTTGGAATAACAATTCCCACTCGTGGGCATCTTTTGACTCTTCCTAATTAATCTTGACAGTTCAATGCAGCCTTTTCAATTTTTTAATTTGTGGCCTTCTTTTACAGGATGTCTGTTGAGATGGTTGCTTGTATAGGTATAGAGGCCATCTCCATACTAGAGAAGATGCATGCTAAAGGGTAACTCGACCTGCTCTTCAGATGTTCCGTAAGAGTGTTTCACATGGCGTCTCTGAAGTTTTAGCTAATAAATTTTGTTTATGACAGGTACGTCCATGGTGATGTGAAACCTGAGAACTTTTTGCTTGGTCCTCCAGATACCCCTGAAGGGAAGAAACTTTTTCTTGTTGATCTTGGACTAGGTAATTCTTAATCAACTTTTATCTTTATATTGTGTCAATTTGTTGTCATGTAATTATTTATGTTGCTTCCTTATGAACTTGTTTTGTTCCAATGCAGCTACTAAATGGAAAGATGCTGGTACAGGAAAGCATGTTGAATATGACCAGAGACCTGATATCTTTAGGTTTGAATAGAAAGTTTATTACGATGCCTATCATTTTGCACATTACTTTATTGATGCGCTCTTCCTGTTTGTCTGCTACTGTAAACAGGGGTACTGTTCGTTATGCTAGTGTGCATGCCCACTTGGGAAGAACTGGATGCAGGAGAGATGACCTTGAATCCCTTGCATACACACTTATTTTCCTTCTCCGTGGCCGCCTGCCTTGGCAAGGATTCCAGGTTAATTTTGATTGATTTTATGACTTTTTTGTTGCTACATGCACTAATTTCGTTTTGTAATTCATGAATGAACTTAGGGAGAGAATAAAGGTTTTCTTGTTTGCAAGAAAAAGATGGCAACCTCTCCAGAATCTTTATGTGGCATTGGTCCACCACCATTTCGTCAATTTGTTGAGTATGTTGTGAACTTGAAGTTCGACGAAGAGCCAAACTATGCAAAGTGCATTGCTCTTTTTGATGGCATTGTTGGTCCAAATCCAGATGGAAGACCATTAAACACCGATGGTGCCCAGAAGGTACATTATTCCTTCAACCATTTTAATCTGCGTCTGTATCATCTGTCAGAAAAAATGATCGTGTAGGAATCTCAGTTCCAATTCCCTATTTCTCGGATCAAAATTCAAAGCACTAGTAAATAATTAAAGTTACCTGATTCTATCCTTGGGCTTGAGAGTCATCACTAGTGTTATAACTAATATTATTTCCCAAGAATTCCAATTAGTTCAATGCCAACCTTGTGCTTTTAGGTTTTAGTGAAGGAAATCTATGTCCCACTATGAAACAACTCAATTGTGAACCTGCCTTTGAACTTCCTGTCCTAGCTTTCTGTAATATGAAACACCAAATAACGAGTATGACCTGCATAGACTAAAACATAGTCAATGTCCT